GATAGATAGATAGATAGATAGATAGATAGATAGATAGATAGATAGATCTATATTGGTAGATAGGTAGGTAGGTAGGTAAATAGACAGAAAGACAGACAGAAAGACAGACAGGCAGGCAGGAAGGCAGGCAGACAGACAGATAGAAAGACCTTTTGGATGTATGTATGGATGTATGTATAGACAGACAGACAGACAGACAGACAGACAGAATGCGACAGCAGTGGCACTTTGGGAAAGTAGAGCAAAGCCAGAGTGGGAATTGAAGTACACACAAGTTGTCAAGGTTGAGAAACGCGGGCTGAATATATTAACCCAGCCATTCCGGTTTAGGGATTAGCATGCTGTTTGATTCCAGCTTAGTCAATAAACCATGGCTAAGATCTTCCTGCTCCTTAATGCAGCTGCCCCTCTGCCTCTTTTCCAGCCCCCTGCCCCAGTTCTTTCTTTGATATCCAATTTTACAATGCCAACCTCCCCGGGGTAGCGATGCAGCCGACTTCACCCTCTTTGCTTCGACCCAAGGTCCACTTCCATCAGGTCAAGCAAGGGGAGATGCTCTGCACACGTTCAGAGACTCCCAACTTCGGGGAAGTGCTCTGCCCATCTTTAAGCTCCGCCCGGGAGAAGGAAGGCATGCAGAAGCAGCCCAGACCAGTGGAGGGGAGGCGGAGGGAACGATCGCTTGGAAAGCAAGCAAGCAAGCAAACAAGCAAGCAGGCAAATGCAGGGCTCGGTCAGAAGAACTGGGCTGCAGAGGGAGGCTAGGTTCTAGGTCCGGCCCGGCCACGTAGAGCTGAACCGAACCAAGCCACATGCCTTGGAGAGCTGCAGTTGCACCCACCCGCATCCTGCATGCAAGCTCAGCTGGCTGGAGAGGTGGAGGCCGGGCAGGCGCTGCGCACTCCCTTGTTCTCCTCTGGGGAAGGGGGCCCTAATGCTGGACTACCCACCTCTTCCATTGCGTGCCTTGGGAAGGTTTTGCTTTGGGCCTTCTGGCGTGCCTCTGCCGCTTCCACCAGAGAGGGCAGTCTGCAAGCTAAGGCGCCCCCTTTCCACCACCTCCCACCTCCCCCCCTTGGCAAGGCTCACCATGTGCAGCTTTGGCATTCAAGGCATCGCGTGTGAGTTTTGCATTCGAGCGGTGCAACAGTCAATAGGTTGACCCTGCAGGGCCAGTGCCTTGAATTCCCCCTTGCCTCTTAGCGCCCCCCTAAGGCATCCCATCGCCCCCCTAGGGGGCGGTACCGCCCACCTTGGAACCATTGTATTAGCCTTAGTTATATCAGTATTCCATGCAGAATTCTGTCTTGATGTTGGGAATAGTATCACATAGCTTTCAAATATTTTAGTTAAAAAGTTTTACCCCAAGTATTTGAAAAGATAAAAAGATGCATTTAAGAAAGATGCTATAGTATTGAATAAGGAAGAAAACAAAAGTAAAAGTGAGAATAAAAAAAAGATAAAGTGTTAAAACAGTATACAAGAGAGGGACAGGGTAGACATTGTTTCACACAGTATGTCAACATTTTTAATGTCAGATTTTCAAAACTGAAAATTCTTAAGCAAATTAACTAAGCATATAATTTTTTTTTTAAATTGATAGATGTCTCGATACATATTTTGTCCTGATGTCTATATATGGCATTTTTAGCTAATAGGGAACCACAATTAATGATACCAATAACTTATGCCTGTTACAAATTCTGAATTGCAAATCTTCAATTTATCATTAATATAATGATCCAGTTAATTTTTGTAATCATTGATTTCTACCCAGTTCTAGAAGTTTTGCTTTCAGAATTCTCCCCCCCTCTCCAATTCTCCTTATTCAAGAAAAACATTTCTAAAAGTTTTCATTTAAGGAAAAGGATAGGGAAATCATGATTTGACAGCATGTTTACAAATGTTTATCTCTTTATCCAGAATATTTAGTTCAATGAAATAGAATACATTTAATAATCCTATCTCTTCCTTTTAAATAAAAAAAACTTATATGCCACTCAGAGTTGCAAATGCTACACAATACACAATTTTCAGTAAGTAAATAAATATAAAGAAATGCACTTCATTGTTAAAAAGTATACTTACTTTCAAGTATAACTTTTCTACCAGTCCAATCATCTTTAATAAGTTGTATGTTTCCAAAATGTGCATCACTAAAGAAGATTCGATTAATTCCTCTTCCTTTCTGTCTATAGTCAAAAGTCAATGCTATTACATTTTTGAAATATTCTGGATTTTCATAAGGTTGCACTGGTGAATTTAAGTTCGTCTCATCTGAAAGATGTATAGTTTTTAGTATTGTTCTTCCTGAATAAAGCAAGTAACCATCATGTCTTAAGCATGTCACACCATCCTCTGCTAGATAACCATGTGCACAAGCACAGGTTCTCTGTGCATTTCCCCGATAGAGACAAAGTTGCTGACACCCACCATTGTTTTTGGCACAAATGTTGGTTCCTACAGGAAAAAAAGAATATATAGTACAGTATAAAAATAAAATATATAAACATAGTGTATTTATTTAAATCACGCCTAATTGTCATGTTTAATTCAATTCATATGCCAAAAAAGAAAGCCAGTTTAGTCTGGTAATTAAGGCACTAGGTTAGAAACCAGAAGACTGAAGGCTGGCTTTCTTGACTACATCAAGAAAGCCGGCTGAGTGACTTCATCCAGTCACTCTCTCTGAGTCCAACTCACTTTAGAGTAGATCAACACTGGATCATGGCATACCAGCAACTGGACTGCACATTTGCACAAACAAGCAAAGCTCCATCCACAGGATGCAGGCAGCACACAAAACCACATCCCCTCCAGTCCGTAGGAAAACCCTCTCCATAGAACCAGTTCCTGGGGCTTAAAAGGTTGGGGGCCGCTGTTTTAGAAAACTGTTGTGAAGAAAATAGGAAACTGAAGGAGTATTAGCTATGTTTGCCACTTCTTTGAATAAAAATAATATAGACAGGATAAAAAAAAATCTAAATTTAAATCTAAAATGTTATTAAATTTGCATTGACAGTAATAAACTAACTTTAAGCATATTAAAGTACTGAATATCTTTTTACTTAGAACTAGATCAGTTTCTGATTGTTCTCTGAATGTTTTTTTTTTTTTTTTGTCAGCAGAAGCAAAAAGATAAACTTCTTAATATCCTGTTCCTCCAAGCACATCTACTGTTCATAATCTATTTGTTGATAAAGTGGGAAGTCCAAGGAGGGAATGTGAGTGAAATTTCTCCCCATATTTTCTGCCAGCTAGATCACTTGCTGGATCTAAATATTTGTCTGTGAAGGAAGCCTGCTTTTCTATATGTAATGTAAAAGAACACACACACACGCAAACAGACACACAAATTCATTGATACAATTAAAATTAAACCAAACAGAAAATTTTGGCACTGTTATTTGCTATGTGTTATATTGTGTACTATTCAGTAAAGTTGCTTAATCTTCAGCTTTTTAAAAAAGCATTCATGTTCACTGAAACAATTACCATTCAATGAAAACAAAATGAACAAATTGGTTGTTATTTGTGTTGTAGGGTGGGGTGGAAATATTTTAAAGGGGGAGAAATTATAAACATGTTTTTTAGTAAAACTCAAAACTGCAGTTTTTATTCCACTGTTTGAAGGCAGCAAAGCAATAGCAGATTTCACACCAGTTATTAAGCCAATACACTGTTGCCAATGATCTTTTTTTTTTTTGCCAAAATGAATTTCTTGTGCATTTCAACTATGCATGAAGTAACAGGTTAAAGTTTTTCATGGCTTAAATTCATGGCTTACTGCTGGAAATTAGACAGCTGATAAAACTAAAGCCATAATACCATTTCATGGCCATATTTAGTTTGACAGTGCCATGATTCTGATTCAGAGATTTTTCAATGACTTCATCACTAAAATCTTATAGTCAAGAATGGGAGAATTGTATAATTTTGAAAAACTTAGAAAATATCTAGAGAAGCATTGGACAAATTATGTCACTCATTTCAAAGGTGTGCTATGTAGCAATGTGACAAGGCATAAAGCAACTGAAGAGGCCTTCATCATGCAGTGAACTGATTTAGACTGAAAACAGTGAATGACTGAATGAAAATATGTAAATATAAAAACCTCCTGAAGAATAAGCCAGCTATTAAAAATGGTTTAAATGTCTCTAATATAAATAATATACAATAATATCCTTATTTTATAAGATCCTTTTATTGTCAAAGTATAAACTGATTAAATTTGGCAACTATAAATAACAGTCTCAATATAGGAAAACAACTTGAGTTCAAAATAGAGTACAGAATTGACACAGAAGTGAAAAAGAACACTGATGAAGAATATTCTCATTTATAGTTGCCCTGACAACTACGACTGCATGAAGCTTCAAATGGGTGCTTCATATCTGACAAAGTTTCAAAGAACTATCTTTGAGGAACTATATTAAGCTGTTTTTTACAGTCAACATGGTCTCATGGTTTCTAATAGGCATGAAGGTGGTATTTGCCTAATTTTTGTATGTTTCAGAGCCCCTCTTAGCTTTCTGCAGAACCCTAACCATAACCCGAATCCTAACTCTGCAGAATATATCCTATGAGAAAAAGATGAAGAAAACATTATTTGTAAAGTGCAGTAGAAGAAGGGTGAGAGAAATCTTATCTTACAACACCAGCTGAGATCATCCAGGTTGGGTGCTGTGGCAGTTGTGGTGATTGCTCAGTTGGTCAGCTTGTGGGAAAATCCAATAACTTGAGAGGACATGTCATGCAATATTTACATCTCTCAACCACTTTCTAGTGATGGGAGGAGGAAAACATCAGGGATAGAGAGATAATGTTGTTAACCAGGGGTGTCAAATTCACAGCGGCGTCATGTGACATGTCATGACTTTTTCCCCCTTTGCTAAACCAGGCATGGCCGTGGCCAGTGCATAACACATCTGACCTATCGGCTGCAAATTTGAGACCCTACTGTAAACTGTGAGACACAAAGCTAAATTTGGAAATCTCATAGAAAATATCTTCCTAACAATAACCACCATGCAGAACCTTCTAAAAGACAATCTTCATAACAACACAACTTTTACAACTTTTTGAGAGCTGCTTATCTACTGGGGATGGGGGGAGGTTCTTTGTTTATCTTTATTGTCTCCTAATGTACAAATTCTTATCTTCACTTCCTCCTCAAAAATTATGCTCACTGTTTTCCTATCAATAAGAATGTAAACAGATGCAATTTACTAGTTTATTAAAGATTTGTGGATTCTATACTGTACACAATCAAAGTGATTATTTTTAATTTAAAACTTTAACAAGTAGAAGAGAAATTGGTACTGATTTTCAAATTTGGGGCAATAGCAACATTTTAAACTTCAAAAAGATAGTAGCTACACTAAATTGGTGTTTTCTATTTTTTTCCTAATAGTAAAAATTATGTCATAGAATTATGCTCTCTGCAGGATATTCTGATCTGGAAATTTAGCAAACCTTCTATTACATATCATTTTAGCCATTTGGAAAACTTTTCAAGACACTACTGCTACTTCTAAACATCTTTTAAACATTTTTGTTCATCCCTCCTGAAAAAATGATTGAAAAGAGGAATTTGGAAACTTTTACAAATCATCTCTTTAATTAAACCAAATGTATACCTTAATATGGGCATCTTATTATGACTTGTTTCCTGATAATTGACTATTTTAAGTGCTGCTACAGAAATATTCCACTCCTTTCTTAACAGTTTTTCATCACTTGTCTTACTAAGAAACACTCAAGACAAATTTCAATTGTCTTTAATGGGATAAAAGATTGTTTACTACTGCTATATATACTTACATCAGAGTAAGTGTCACTGACTATTTCTGAATAAATATGCATAAAATATGAAAGCATTTGTCAAAAACAATGCAGCATATTTTTATCAATATATTTTTCTGTCATGCCTGCAAGAAAGTTCGTGTTGTGAGTATGTACATCAAGCATACAACACTCATATACACACATAGACACATTTTATTAGATTGGAGCTTTTTTTGCAAAATGGCCAAACATCAATACTGACCAGAGTGAGTATAGTTTGAAAAAAAAAAATTCATAAGATTTTTCCCTTTGATAGTGATCTCAGTTATAATGTACTGGGGTTATGATGAGGGTAAGGGTTAGTTAACACTAACCTTATCAATAAGTGTCTTTAATTTTCATGTACAATAGAGACCTCATAGGAAGGAACTTGGAGGTCCTGTTGTCTAACACCCTTCCCAGGAATACTCAGATCATCTCAGACAAACAGCTGCTGAACCTTTGCTTGAAAATTTCCAATGATGGCATACCCATAACTCCAGAAGGAAGGCTTAATAGCCCTCAAAGTCAGGAAAGATCTCCGTATTCCACTTTTGAATCTCTCACAGTAAAGCTTCCACTCAGTGGCTTTTGTTCTACCACCTGGGCACTATGGAAAATAAATCCACATCATCTTCCTTATAACAGCCATTCAAGTATTGGAAGACTACTGTGATGTTTCCACTTAGTCCTCTCTTATTTAGGCTAACCATACTTAGTTCTTTTAACTACTATTTTTAAGTGTACCTTCAAGTGTACCATCATTTATTCATATTTAAGTGTACCTTCAAGTGTACCATCATTTTTCACTCTTCATTGCACTCTTTCAAATTTCTCAATATTCTATTTCTATTGTAGAGGCAAAAAGGCATAATGTTCCAGTTGTGGTCCAACCAATGCAATATAAGTAGAATTATTACTTCCTGTGATCTCAGCAGTGTAGTATCTATGTTGATGCAGCCCAAGATTACATTGTGTATTTTGGCAACTACAGTGTGCTGCTGATTCATGTTTAAATTATGGTCCAGTAGGACACCAAGAACTTTCTATTTCACAAGTACTACTGTCCTCCCTATATCTGTGCATCTAATTTTTGTTTCCTTTTGGTGCAGAACTGTACATTTCTTACATTTGAATTTCATTTTGTTGGGAAGAATCCTGTGTTCAAGATTCTTTTGAAACCTCCTCTTGTCTTTTGAGATGTTATAGATCTCCTACAGCTTTGAGTCATTTTAAATTTGTGTATGTATTGTTTCAAATTTTTGTTCATAAATTGATGGAACTCATTTATAAGTTAATGCCAATATCCACTATGGAAAACTTAAATCATTCATTTATTTCAAAATTCATTGTGGTAAATAATATCATCACCATAGTAGACCCAGCCCTCGCCCACTGCTTTATGGGGTTCCACAGGACTCGGTACTCTCTCCACTCCTGTTCAACATTTATATGAAGCCGCTGGAGAAGATCATCCATCACCATGGACTGAGGTATTACCAATATGCTGATGATACTCAACTGTATGTCTCGGCCCCTGGTGAATTAAATGTTGCTGTGTCCTCCCTCTCGCAGTGCCTGGAGGCTGTTAGGGGCTGGATGGGGAGCAATGGGTTGAAACTGAACCCTTACAAGACCGAGTGGCTCTGGGTTTGGGGTTCATTGGTTCAGGGAGAATTACCACCTTTAGTCTTGGATGGGATAGCACTACCCCAAACAGACCTTGTGCATAATCTAGGAGTTTTCCTGGACTCACGACTCCTGTTTGAAGAGCACGTGGCAGTCATGGCCAGGAGGGCCTTTGCGCAACTGCGGGTTGTGCACCAGTTATGCCCTTTCCTGGATCAGCGGCCCCTATTCACAGTCACTCATGCCCTGGTCACTTCCCGACTTGATTATTGCAATGTGCTCTACATGGGGCTGCCCTTGAAGAGTGTCTGGAAGCTCCAGTTGGTGCAAAATGCAGCGGCCCACATGGCTTTATGCAGACCCCGGTATGCACATGTGTCACCTCTCCTGCATTGGTTGCCGATTTGCTTCCGGGTACAATTCTAGGTGCTGGTTGTCACCTTTAAAGCCCTTCATGGCTTGGGTCCGGGTTATCTGAGGAAACATTTCTTGCCAGTGACATCTACCTGACCCATTAGAGTGAGGAGGCAGGGAATGTTGCAGGTTCCACCCCTGAGGGAGATACACCTGGTGGGACCCAGAAGAAGGGCCTTCTCCGTGGTGGCTCCGTCTCTCTGGAACATCATTCCCCCAGAGATTAGAATGCCCCCCTCACTAATATTCTTCCGAAAGGCACTGAAGACCTGGTTTTGCCAGCGGGCCTGGAGAACCCAGAGAGGGATGGAGCCCATCAAATGGCTAGTGTGATCTGCTATCGTCAGTGCAGGGGGTGGGAGTTGGTTTTTGTTTTGTTTTCCCAAATTTTGTTCTATTGTACTTTACTAATTTATTTGATTCTTTTTGTTAGTTTTTTATTGTTTTTATTTTTATTTTGAATATGGTTTTACATTTTATTGTTTTTATTTTTATTTTGAATGTGGTTTTACATTTTATTTTTAATATGGTTTTACCTTGAGTCACCATGGACGAATAGGCGGCAATATAAATTAAATAAATAAATAAGTATCTCCAAGTGTAGAATCAAACACTTAAGTCTACAATAAGAATTACCTTTTTCACGACCTCTGTTGAAAACCTTTACTTCCTTCAAGTTTATGCCTAGGCCTGTCCTCATGGATACTGTCTCTGTGGCATCGTTTTTTTTGCTTCGTCTGATAGATCCATTTGCATGAGCTCTGCCAAAAAATGTTGAAGGTATCTGACCCATAGTTCTCAACTAATTAAAAGTGAAAGAGACATTAATATGCAAGGAACATAGGGCCTAACAGAAAATGAAGAAACTTTGGTGTTTTGTTTTGTTTTTGATTTGCAAGGTTGATATAGTTTAGCTATGTTGAATATTAAACTGCCTTTAAAAAATCCCTATCGCTATGTGAGAGCCTTTTAGTGATATTACTAAGGAACAGCTATTTCTATAAGGGTGAAATATCTGGCACAGAAGTAACATTTTGAAACACAAATACTTATAGAAAAATAAATTACCTGTCAGACCAGTAGATGTAAGCCCCAAAGACTGTGATTGAAAACATATCCACATTACTTCCTGACAGTACGATCTCCCGATTTCTTCCATTCTCAAGGTCAATTCTTTCTATCTTGTCCATTCGAGCATCACACCAATATAATTTATTTTCCTAAGAATCAATCAAAAAGTAAACTCCAAATATTTTATCCTATTTTTAATTAAGGCAATAAAATATATTGTGATATTCATATCTTAGCATATTGTAGCATGAATAATTTGCAGAAAAAATAGAAAAATTCACCTCAAGATCAACAGAAACTCCATTAGGCCACATGGCACCAGTACCAACAAGAACAGTCTTCTCTGATCCATCTAAATGAGCCTTGCCTATACATGGTGCCTGTCCCCATTCTGTCCAGAATAAATAACTAGAATATGAAAAATATTATGATCAAAAATAAGTTTATTGAAATGAATGGGTTGGAATAGAAGAAAATTTGTGAAAGTTTCCATCATCACAATTTTTCACAGTGCAGTCCTTTTCCCCATATAGCTACTCATATAAGAAACTTCCTGAAATAGCTTAAAAGAGAGGAAATAATCCTATACAAAAGTTAAAATAAGCCAAGGTCTAGAAGAGAAAGTCTAGAATAAATATTACAACTTTATAAAGATAGCAATTTTCAGAGATAAATAAACCTACAAAATATTTCCATTTTTTTAAAAAAGAAAAAATGCTGATGTCTATTCATTTTAGGTATTGTACTTTTTCCCTTCTAATACATGTTTCTATATCTGTAAATATACCTTGTGCTTTTTTTGTTGTTAAGCTGAAATATGAAGCTCAGCTTGCAAATTGTAAAACTTTCATACTCATATATTCCTGGTCAATTCTAGATAATGTGGTTTTGAACCCTCATCTATTCCTGACATGAGGAAAGATAGAGACATATTTGACATCAGGTTGCATTTCTGACAACCTAAAACATACGTTTTTTGTTTCTTCCATTCCTCCAATTAAGAATCATTTCATGTCCAACATCGTATTTCCTGATACCAGAACTGTAATTGGCTATGTTCCAAATTATGGAGACACTGTTGCTTTACCAACATTCCATTCCTCCCCATGGTACAAGTGGGTGAACTTCCATTAGAGGTGGAAGTTCACCCCCCATGGACCACTCAATGGATTGGCCAAGAACTAATCCTAGTGGATTGACCCTGATTTCTAGAGATGGGCATAGAAATGACCTTGGAGAGAGCTGCCAGAAAGCATTAGAAAAATAACAAGTGTAGAAGAAGCAAGTGTAAGCCCAGATGCAGGAAAAAGAATGAAAGAGACTCAGACTGACTCCCACAACTTCTTTGGATATATGAGGAAGGGAAAGAAAAACACAAACAGACTTGCAAGATTCTTTTGTTGCCACCCATCTCAAATAAAGTATTGTTCTAATTTTTCTGTGGTCAGTTTCTTGATCTGATTTACCTCACAGGATTGACAATTTTCTGAAATATGTAGGATGAGAGAAAATGGAGACCCCTGCCTTTCTAGATTACTTTGTACTTATAGTGTAATTCTGTAGCAAAAAAATCTGGTGCCAGGAGGAGCCGACTCTGTAGGGTTTTGTTGTGCATTCCCTCAAAGCTAGAACAGAAACTTCTAGAGGTGATACCTGAGGAAAAATTTATGTGTGGATTTCTAACCACCTTGATGCCACAAACATCTAGCCTGCAATTTGTGAGAATGTAGCTTTAATAGCAATAATTAATTTGCCTAGTCTATTTCCCCCTTTGCAGGCTGCTTTCATTGACTACTGCCCAATGGAATAAATTGGAAAATTACCTTCCAAAACCCACTTGGGATCATCCAAATGCAGCAATAATAATAGCAGTCTTCTTTCCCATTTTGGCAGCTATTTTCCCATTCAAAGGAAATCCTTAAGCAAGGTAAATCCAGGTACCCCAGAATCAATATAGCAGGCTACTACTAGAGCTAATCAAGAGTTTTCAGCTCTCTCTATAGGTAGCCCTTGAGATAGGACATGATACCAAATGAACATTCAAAGTTATGACAGATGCCCCCAAATTACATATGACTCTGTTTCAAAATTATGATGGCTGTAGAACCCGCTCTGGATTCATTTGGCCTTATGACCGACCATGGTGATGCGGCAGTATTTCCTCATTTCTCTCTCCCCAATCCCACCCCAACCAGACCCTGTAGCACTCTGGCCTGTTTCCCATGTCTCCATTTTCAGCACTCCAAAAATTCCTCACAGAATTGCTTTTGGAGAATTTTGTCCCAATCAACTGGCTCTGCAAACCTCCCCTGGCTCTTGCTAAGCTTTGGGAACCCAGAGCATGCATGCAAAGGGAGTAGTAACAGGATAAGTTTCCTAAAATCTTTCCCTTGCTTTAATGCCCTTTCTTTCCCCCAAACTGACTTTTTTTCTCCAATAAACCCAAGAAAGTTAGGAAGGCTAGACTTGTTCATCATTCTCTCACCCCACTAACACCTTGGGTGCTGAAACTAAACACCTTGCTTCTGCCCTCCAATACCTATCCCCTTTAAAATGTGATTTGCTAATTTACTGCATGCTGGAGAAGGGGTGATAAAACCTGTAAGTTATTTACTCTGACTCCAGGCTGAAGAGTACAGGAAAGGAATGAAGCAAGCAAAAAAAAAAAAAACAACGTTCTACAGTTTTTTTGCCTTGAGGAGCTGAAGAAAAAAGTCATATCAAACAGTTTAGCCATTTAGACACAACCTGTGCAACAAACAGGGCAGAAAGCTGGATCCTTGCAAAACTTTTTGCTGTTTGTCCAGCTGCCTTTGGGACCCTTCTTTAGAGTCCTAGCTGGCAGTTAGACAAACAGCAAAAATCTTTTACAGGAGTCCTAGCTTGGTCCTATGCTCACTGAATCACCTCAACAATTGTTTAATGATTGAACTGGGGAGAGCAGAATGTCTGGTCATTATGTGAGGCAGTTCATTTAACATTTGTCCTGGCTTTTGACTATAATGGACAGGCTCTATTACAGTTATACTTTGAGGGTTACCAGTATAAAATAGCATGGCAAAAGGTGCTGGAAACCTCTGTGGGGCCTCAGGGTTGTGCACAACTGCTTTTTAATTGACCTCTTGCAATCTATTTGATAAGATAGTTATATTTAAAGTTGAGCTCTTACTAAACAGTGACCACTTCCCTTTATTACATTTTCTGCTAGCCAATACCAAAAGCAATGAGGGTATCAATGGAGCTAGAAACAGCCATAGGGGTTAAATAGACTGCAATATGGGTGCTAATAGTCGAACTATCATTAACCTTAGATGGTCTTTCTAACTTTGGGAGCACCTAATATTTCAAATCCAGTAGATGCCCTAGTCATATATTTCATAAACTATCATAAACCCCATCCAGCCAATATTAATATTTTCCCAGCATGCAAGTAAAATATTTGCCTGTATTCTTGGAAACTATGACAATATTTAAATTTTGTAGATTGAACAATTAACAGTGTGCCAGAAAGTCAGTTAATTGCCCAGCCAAAAAAATAATAATAATGAAAAGGGGGAGGGGAAACCCAAGCAGGAGTGACTTTTTCAAGATCTGGAAGTTGAGAATACCTATTTAGGAAGCTTGTTACATGCTCATTACATGAAGGGAAACAGTGCTTGGAGGCTAGATTTCAGCAGCTATACAGGAAGAGTTTTATAGTATGCAATATAGATTTCCCTTTTCTATCTGCCAGTCTGCATGTGAGATGATATGTAGCATCTCTCCTTAGCTCTTAGTTTCACACTCCTAAATTAATGAAATTAAAGAGTTGAGACTTAATGCCACCATGAAGGGAAGTGCTAGTTGACACTCCTGTCTTGGTGTCTCACTTTAACAATTCATTACAAATTCCTGATGATTGGATTCAATCTATATGATTTTATATCTTTTTATATGTTTTTGTATTGTATTTTGGTGGGACTATTTGTGTAGATTTTGTTGTAAGCATTAAAATAATAATAATAAAAAATTTCCATCTCTAACAGCAGCACAAACTTTTACATTACCATGTAGTTTGCTATTAAGCATATCTTGTAAAAATATAGGCCACTTCTTATAAGTTATTGGATTGGCTAGACCAGGAAAAATTCTAGTTGAGGAGCAAGCGAGATTACAGAGATCAGATTCGCAATAAATCAATAGACCAACTTATAATTTTTTTATAGATAACTATTGGCAAAAACACTCCCCATGTGTATATTGCTTTTGTTGAGTTAAAATCAGTTTTCAATTCTATTCCAAGCAACAACTTTGGTGGAAACGATTTTTCATATCTATTGATTGGTGGCTACTTTTCCTGATTAGTAATATGTATGAAACCATAATAATTCAAGTCAGATGTGAAAGAGTTGGTCACCATCCAAGCCAGAGGTGGGGAACGATGGCCCTTTTATGACTTGCTGGCTCAGGAATTCTGGGAGTTAAAGTCCACAAGTCATAAAGGGGCCATTGTTCATTACCTCTGATCCAAGCCATCAACTAGCGAAATAGAGTTGTATTCTAATTCATCTGCTATTTAACCTCTATGTGAATTGTATGGTGGGTACTTTCAACAAAAGGAACTCCACACTCCCAAACCTAGTAACAGACATTTGGCACTGTTGTACTGCTCTGTGCCAGTGATGCAGCAATTTTTAAATTTATACTGGGGGGACTCAGAAAGAGTCCTTAATGGAATTTTATAAGAGGAAAGTATTTGCAGTCATTCACTCTACGATTCTAATGATGGTTTTCTTGGAATGACCTAGTTACCAATGGCAAATTGGAAATAACACCGAACAAGTACCTTTTTCCCCCTCCTCCCCACCACCATTTAATCATGTCCAATTCTGAGAGATTGCCCTGTAGTTTTCTTAACAAGGTATTTCAGATGTTGTTTGCCCTCGCCTGCTTCCTAGGGCTGAAAGAAAGTGACTGACCAAAGATCACCCACTGGCTTTGTGCCCCATGCAGGATTAGAACTCCCAATCACCTAGTTTCTAGCTTGATTCTTTAAGCACTACATCAAATTGACTCTCTAATTTTCAAATACCTTGGCATAATTTTTAAGCTTCCCAAGCTGAGTGACAAAAATGAAAAAAAAAAAAGAACCCATTTCTGTTGAAACTAACAATGGCACTAAGGCAAATGGACCTCTCCCCCCGCCCCATTCTAACGGAGGCAAATGCATACATGTCATCATAAAGCTTTTTAAAACTAAAACTGCATCTAAAATGTATAGAGCAGAACACAGGTTTTACCAGCACTCTTCCATATCCCATACTAATTTTCAAAAACTTTAAAAGTGGTGTTTAAATGGAAGCTGGTATGATTCCATTGGAGGTAGAATCATATTTGCCTACTGTTTTCTAGGAGCTCACTGGTTCTATTTATGGCTTTAAAAAAGGTAAAATAAAAAGGAGATAACTAGATTATCATAATCAAAAGAAAAGTGTCTCTAGTATTCCCAATGGCAAGCTTCTTTAAAGAAAAACACTTATATCCTATTCTGTCTGTCCATATTATATTATACTATGTTATATTATAGTATACATAATTAAAGTTTAAATGTTCATTATCAACTTATTGAATACATGAAGCCCAGATCTTCCTAATCATTTGGAAATGCTGAAATAAAATCTAGGTCAATAATTTCATCTCAATATTAACTGTGCTTCCTTTTTAATGTAATCTTGTAATTGAAGACGCAACAAAATATACTATTTAAATTTATTTTTTCTTGAGCGCTAAAAGAAATTTACACATATCAACAGCTCACAAAACAGCATGGTAAAGTAGTTCAACATGATTCCATTTATGCCAGAGGTGTCACATTGCCGTCAAATGACATTTCACAATGTTTTTCCCATTCACAGAATTGGGGTGAGTGTGGCCTGCACATGACGCATCTGGCCCACAGGCCACCAGTTTGACACCCCTGATTTTTGCTATTGTTGGAGCAGTATTTTAAAGCTTTAGTGGTTTGTGGGCTAATATCAAATTTACATTGTAGCTTCCTAGATCCATTTTACACACTATTCCTCATCAGCTTTTCAGTTTTTTAAAATGCTTTTTAATAAATGTATTCACTTGCATGCATATCAATTATCAACTTACCCTTTTTCGGGGTGCACTGCTATAGACCTTGGCTGATCCAGACCCTGAGATATGACAACATAGCGAAAAGAGCCATTAAGCCTAGAAACTTCAATAAAATTGAAGCCATGATCTGTCCAATATATATTACCTGGAAGCAATAAGAAAATGCAGTTATGGAGACATAAGAATATCATTAAACATCTCAGTTATGACTACAAACAAAATAAATGAATATTAATATCAACTTCTTCTAAATTAAATTACTAAAAAGAAAAATCAGTAGGCATATTTGTACTATTCTATTTGAATAATTTTTCTTCCTGCAAACTTCCTTATGTTAAAAATACATCTATACCATGATGGAACAATCAATGGTCAGCCAAATCATATGACCCCTTTTTGTCACCCTAAAATCCAATTTTGTCAGAAAAATCCTCTCTAAACTATATTTAGTTTGTTAAAATGCCATTTTTGACAGTGCAATTTTTCATATTTGTGGGGACCCAGGATAAAAGTGATTAGTCCACTGCAGATTCAATGTACCTATTTTGAGTAAAAAATATTCATCCCACCATCATCATATGATTAGCTATGTCATTTCATTTGTATTTCTTGGAGAATTTAATACAATAAAATAAAAAGTACAGTTTCCAGAGGAAAAGCATCCCACTTTCTATGGAAAGAAAAAAAGTATCTGCTTTTAAAAAAAGGGACTAGATTTTGTTTATACTAATTTATTTATTTATTTATTTGATTTGCCAATTGTTTACAAGATAATAAGTATAAGTGTATACATAGTTGTGAATACATGAAATGGGTACATATAAGAAAAATAAAAGAAGAATAAGAGAAACAATAGGACAGGGACGGTAGGCACGTTGGTGCGCTTATGCACGCCCCCTACAGACCTCTTAGGAAAGGGGTGAGGTCAATAGTAGACAGTCTAAGGTTAAAGTTTTTGGGGTTTGGGGAAGAAATTACAGAGTCGGGTAGAGTATTCCAGACATTGACCACTCTATTGCTGAAGTCGTATTTCCTGCAATCAAGTTTGGTGCGGTTAACTTTGAGTTTGTATCTATTGTGTGCTCTTGTGTTGTTATGGTTGAAGCTGAAGTATTCATTGACAGGTAGGACATTGCAATGTATGATTTTATATACCATGCTTAAGTCAGACCGAAGACGGCGTAATTCAAGGTTTTCTAGTTCTAGAATTTCAAGTCTGGTGGCATAAGGTATTCTACAACGAGTAGAGGAGTGGAGAACTCTTCTTGTGAAATATTTCTGGACTTTCTCAATTGTGCTAATATCAGATACGTAATGTGGGTTCCAGACTGATGAACTGTATTCGAGTATTGGTCTAGCAAATGAATAAAATTGTATTTTCTTATTTTATTTGGTAATTCTAGATGCAAAATATGTTTACTGTTGTAAAGAAACCTGAAAGAATTGCTTGGCTATAAATCAGAAAAGATAAAGTAAAATAGTTATAAATAATAAAATAACCAGAAAACCTACCCGCTATCCAATCCACTGCAATGCCTTCCACTCTTCCCAAGCCATTTGTAATGATATCTTCCTTCCATGTCTGATCTCTGCTAGCTCTGCTTATTTTATTGAATCCCATGTCAGTCCAGTAGATTGTATCATTTCCTATAGAATAAATATTTAAAATACAGTTTCCAACAATATCTTATTTATTGGGCATGCTTTGATCTGTTAGTTTGAAGTGCTTCTATGACATTTTTTTCTACAATTCATCTTTGCTCTTTTCCCATTTGTAAATGTTTGGGTACAATACTTACTGAAAATCAGTGTACATCATATGCATTTCTTTTTACATTTTTGCAGCTGTTTTTCTTAATATAGATCTATGTAACTGAGAATGAAGAATAGTAATCCTATGTAACTTTGAGACTTCCAAAATTATAGGGCTTTTATAAGGAAAATGTTTATTTACCTGCATGAAAGTCTATACCAACAGCAAAAGATGTTCCTGTTATAGGCATTAATGCATCTGTTTTGTCATTTGGATCAAGAGGGATTCCCCTGATTCCTTCATGAATAGAATATAAGAGAAATGACTCTATACCTAAAGAAAAAAATATTTCAAAATGTTAACAATAGTTATCATCATAAGCAGTTATAAAATTAACCAGATATCTGAAGACAAAAGACAAACTTCTGGCTCTTAATCAGTTGTATTATGATGAAGTGGGAGGGATCATCAAGAAAGAAAATAAAAAAATCAATGTAGAATAACCAGAATCGTATTAAAAGCTAGTACAGGTAGTCCTCAACCTACGACCACAACTGAGCTCAAAATTTCCACTGCTAAGCAAGGCAGTTGTTATGTGAATTTTGCCCCATTTTACAATCTTATTTGCCATAGTTGTTAAGCCTTTAAGAGAAACTAACTTCTCCCATTGACCTTTGTTTGTCAGAAAACAGTTGGGAAGGTTACAAATGATGATCACATGACATTTTATTACATCTTTTTGGAACTGTAATCTGTATCTGTCTAAAGATACTTTTAAGAAGCTTGAGTCTACTGACACATACTTCTGCTAAATTTGGACTTCAGTGATTGAACTGAGATTGTAAGCTTCTAACCATGATTATGTCAACATTTTTTGCAAGAAGTCTGAAAATTGATGTTCAAATCATCAAGTTAATTTTAATTAAGAACCTGTCCTAGGGATATCATTTGAAAAATTGATTAGGTTTTTATTTATTTTATGATCAGTAAACTGAAATCAATTATTTGATTTTACAACTATTTTGTATAACGATTTTAGTACCCACAAATGATTGTGCAAATTCCCTGCTTTTACATCTGTCAATATGTATCTCAATAAAATACAACACAGATAAAAAACCTTGTTTATCCCTATTTTTGACAGATTATATCAATTACTAATTATAGATATTTATTACACAAACTCAGCAACAAAATTAATAAAAAAATCAAATCTTTTTTTTAAAAAACTACCCAACCTCCAGGAAACACAATCATAAGACTCGGAGCAAGATATTATTTTCTTCTGCTACCAATAATACAATTGACTTTGGGGATTATTAAATTTGTATTTTGATTTGTTTTACTTAGCCCTTGAAAATAAATAAATGATTATACCTTGACATGTCATGCGGTTTTTCTGAAGATTATAACCTACAGTGCATAAGCATGTTCGAGTGGATTCTGAAGTTGGTAAGCAAAGTTGGGAACATCCTCCATTATTGATCTGACAAGAATTGCTACCTATTAAAAATACAGAAACAATGAAGCTTTACAAAATGTTTATAAGGTACTGAAAATTATATTTATATCTTAGTAGGTAGAAACAACTGATGAATATTGTCTGGATTTGAAAGCTAAGCAGGGTTGTGTATGATCAGTATTTGGGAACAGGGAACAGTTTAGCTGTAAGTACAGTTGTGCAGTCAGCAGAAATCAAACTCATTTTTAAGTAGACTTTACCAGGGGTGGGATTCAAATTGTTTAACAACTGGTTCTGTGGGTGTGGCTTAGTTGATGGGCATGGCTTGGTGGTCATGTTATTGGCTGGGCGTGGCCAACTCAATATCACTCACATTGAGGCACGCATCTCCTCACCTGGCCTCTCATGACTGTGGGGATGCTGCAACAGTTATAAGTGTGAAAAATGGTCATGTCACTTTTTTCAGTGGCATTGTAACTTTGAATGGTCACTCCACACAAGCAAAGTACCAGCAAAGGAGGGGAGAAAAACTCTAGAGAAGTTCCAGAGACAGGAAGTCTAGTCCTGCCAAGAATGTAATAAGGCTGAACGGAGAGGCAGTTTCTGTAAGCAACACCAGAATGTTTCCTATCTGCCTTCCTTACAGGATTAGGCCAGTCATTTCTTCTAACAACCAGTTCTCCGAACTGCTTAGAATGTTAACAACAGGTTCTACCGAAAAGATGCGAACTAGTAGAATCCCACCCCTGGACTTTACTAATTAGTTTCATATGGAATTCATAAAAATAGGTCATCTGCTCTGTAACATAGGGTATATGCATGACGTACCTTTCTGTTTTGAAGTAAAGATAGCAAATTACCACTTGCCCACCATTAGGAATTCTGAAATTGCTTTAAGCAATTGCCCATAGAATAATAAAGTTAGCTTTAAAAAGGCTTTTTTTTTAATGGGAAAAGTACACATTTTGATTAACATCTTTTGCTAAAGCCTAGTAGAATCCCAGTGTGAGGTAGGCAGCCAAGTAGATGAAAAAACAAATTAAATAAACAAAAATACTTGTCACTAGTTATTGAGTTCTTATGAGTTTGCCTAATTGATTTTAGTCCCAACTTGTCAGCTGAAGCCTGAATGTCATTGCATTCAAGGTTTTAAGTTTTGATAGTATGGAGAGATTTTAAAGCTTCCCTGATTCACTCATTCAAAGATTGGATTATGATGTAGACTCCTCAATTTTTTCTTACCAATCAACATATAAAGACATGAATAGATTACCATTATTTCCAAACTCAGAGCAAGAAGCTCTGACTTTAACAAAGAAAACTGAACAACGGGGATAAGTTACAAAGAATATATAACAAAGAATATATATTGAAGATACTTTAAGATAGATAATAAACTAAGCAATGATGTCTTTAGTTTTAATTAAGACACTGGAGTTAACATCAACCAATATCATTCTACAAAGCAATATTAATAAAACACAGTATATTCTCTTTCAGTTGCTCCAAAGCAAAAATGTTCATGAATACATAGAGCACTTTTATCAACAGAAACCCCGAGCTATAAAGATAATTATTATAGAAAAGAAGGTAATTGTTTTGTTTTGCTTTGTTTTTATCTTCCAGTAGTTCTCTATCATTACCACTTAATGTCTTAGGGTTTTCCAATGATTTGGAAATTTCTGGGGGGCACAGATAACTATGGAAAAAGAAGAAACTAGTAAAAAAATCACTTTAGTTCATAGTAGCTGAAGTATATTGCTCCATAAAGAGATTTCTAAGGATTTATGGATTTATGTATTTAATTATTCAAAATCTTAACATGTGGTTTACCTTTCTGTCCTGCTTTGTCATACACTTTCATATGTACAACTCCTGAAGTTTTGTTTCGCAAAACTGTAGGATTCCTTCCATCTTTTTTATTGCAGGTACCCAGTTGGCCTAAGTTATGGTCTGCCCACCATAACTTTTTATCTGTAAAAATTAAGCATTTCCATTTCTATTTTTAAAACATTAATAAATATATCATATACATAATTATATACATACAAAACAGTGAGTTTGTGAAACTAGAAAAAAGCCGAAAAATGCAAGAATAGTAGCATAGAAAGCACACTGCAGTAATCTAATCAGCAGATGATTTAAGTCATGAAACATGAGGCTATGTTATCTTAGTCTATTAGGCTCTCTGTGCTACAATGCCACCTATTTCCACTACAACCTTTAATCAAGTAAAACCCTCAAGCACACGTCTATTGCTTTGAAGGGAGTGAAATTTCAGTTACAAACGTCTGTTCTCCTAATTCGCAAACTGAGAGCCACCTAAACATAGCATCTCCGTCTTATCTGTAATCAGTTTCAGTTTATTAGCTTTCCTCTAGTCCATTACTACCTCCATTTAACTATGAAACACCTTAATTATGAGTCCTGGTACAGATGGAAAAATGAAATGAAGTTACATGTTATGAGCATATTGATTTCACTGAACTTCAAATCTCTGAATGACTATTTCCAGGAATATCATGTAATAATTGATCACAAAAGAAAAAATAAAATAAAAGATCCCATGGAATTAAAAATGTAAACACCATGAGGTTCTCAACTATTATTCCCTAATAGTAACCTTGAGACAATATAAGACTGTGAATCCAATTCTCAACCATTAATACAATATTCTATGATTATCAAAATTCACTGAGAAATCCATAAAAATTGACAACATAGCACTCCTTATCTCTCTCCCCAAAATGATAATCAACCAGTGCAACTAAACCCATTTCACTTAAATATCTAGCCATATTCAGCTTCTTCTAAACCCGGGGTGTCAAACGTGTGTCACATGACATATCGTGACTTTTCCCCCCTTTGCTAAGCTGGGCGTGGGCAGCACGTGACACATCCTGCTCACGGATTTGACAGCTCTGTTCTAAACCAACTTCTTTTACAAATATTTTTAAAAGGCAATTTATTATTTTAAATAATAAATTTAAAATAGTTTCAAATTTATTGAAACCTGCTTTGGAGATCCTTGAATTTAAATTGAATTATCCTAGAAGAAACTTCAGAGATACCATGCAAGGATAAGGCACAGTTTTATTAAAATGCTGCTGAGAAGTACAATGAAAGCGTCCAGGTAGTATCTGAAGCTTTTTTCTGTCTCAGTCTGAACACATGCATGTCCATATGTTGAATATGTACTGCATTAAGCAAAGCTTTGCTATCACTGGATGATGGGATGGAATAGTAATTTGCTGTGATTCTACCTTTATTCACAGAAGGATGAGACATAAGGTCTGGAGGCTTTGACAGTGAGATTCAGGCACAGATCTTTTTTTTTTTTTTTTCATCCTTGTATACAGCTGGAAACAGTATAGGAACTACTGAGTTGATATTGGTAATACCATTGCAGATAATGTGTTCTGCAGCAAACTGATGATACTCAGATGATGACATCATACATGACATACTTGCATTATTTATATGCCAGGTGCATATTATAGCATTTATGTGGTGATGATGCCATGCATGTGTTGCCATTTGATCTCTATGTTCCTTTGAACGATACAAAAATGTATGGTATTCCATGAGCTATTCATCAACTCATATTCCAATCTGCATCATAATGATACAATACATCAACAATCACATTATTAAAGATCACACTGCAAATGGTAAAATCAGATAAAGTGATGGATTTCATGTTGAATTTTTATTGATCTACTGGGGCATTTATATGGTTAGATGTCAGTTTTGAATCAATCATTCAATATCTCAATATTTCCTTCATTATTTTATGAGGACTGTATTGCACTAATATTAAAATCTGACAGAAAAAATCTAGAAGATATGGAAGCTATAGGCCAATATCTATATACTAAAATAGTATATATATAGAGAGAGCAATATCTATGTTAAATATTAACTGCAACACCAACAACAGAAAATACCATCTTCAAAGCACCTAGGTTAACTGGATTTATAAAAAAAATAAAATCTTTTTATAACAACTTTATTAATATTTAAAAATACAAAGGTAAAAGACTAAGGGCAATATAAAAAAGAAAAGTCCAAAGAGACAGGAAAAAAAGAAGACATATAAAAGATAATTCCCTGCATTCTTTAGACAAGTATAAACATTTTCAGTAACTTAACACTTTCTCTAGTATTTCAATTTCAGAAATTCATCTTTTCTTCCTATATCTTATCCCTTATCAATAATCAAATTGTAAAAACTCATCATTTAATCCAAACTGGCAAAAATCTATTAAGAGCTACTAGAAATAGTAAAACACACACACAGGCACACACAGGCACACAAATATATATTTGCATTAGCCTTACAAAAAAAAAAAAACAGTTTTGTAATTCAATTGATCACTTTATCTAAGAAAGAAAGAAAGCAAAAGAAATCTCTGCCCACTTATAAACAGATCTGCGTCATTCCGTCCTGGTCAAAAAGAGATCTCAGAGCCTTAAGAAACCACAACATATATATTTTAACTGATTGAATAAGTTCACTTTGCAGAACTTCTGTCTGTTTTTAAAAAGCTTGATCTTTTTAAAATTAAATAATGTCCCACAAGTTGATTTCTTATCATTTTCTCTTTGTCTTCTTTAAGAAACAGTTTTATTGGTTTCACAAATTCACTTTGTAAATCCAAAATAGGAAGCTTTTCTATATCACTCTTCTGAGATCCCTTCCAACTCTGTTAATCTGTATCTCATATTATTTGTATGTCCCCTTTAATTATTAAGAAATCTGTTTTCATTTGTAATTCCATTTTGACATCTTTTTCCATATCACTTATGATCTGCCATTTTAAATCCATTTTCTGATCCACAGCATCTTTTTCCATATCTCTTTGGTAATCCAGAAGTTCTTTAAACTCCAAATCCATATTTAAATCAGTCAGCTTTATACAAATCTGGTATTCTTCTATATTCTCTATTATAGTTTCAAACAATCTTGTATTTTATGAGTACATTGTTCTCAAACAGGCTTAATTTCTTCTATAGTCAAATATTGCTCCATTATATTGATGGGTCTCTTCTTATTAGAATAATGAAATATTTTTCTTCTCTGAGCCATGTTCCTTTTGCCATTGCTGTCCCCAGAAGTCCAAAAAAAAACCTGATAAATTTTTACAATATTTACCAGGTGGTTATTATTATGGATATAGCTGCAGATAAATTAGTACCACTTGTTCATATTTTGTTGGATGTAGAAAAGGTATTTTGATATGGATCAGATTCAATTTACAAAGTGCATTTTCAGATAATCGCTTTCCATTATCAATTGATTACCAAGTGGTATTTTCATCCTGTGACTTGAGTTATTACCAATGTATTTGTGTCTCAATCTACCGAATAACATTAGTACTGTCTCCAATTTTGTATTTCATTTTTGAACCATTATCTTCTTTTAGACATTAGTGATATGGGGGGTACTCAACTAAATTCATTTTTTCTGTGTATGCCAATGACATTAAGGCTATTCTTGATAATTATATAATGTTGTTAACAAAGCTTGTTCAAATTTTATCAATATGGTTTATATTTATATTCTGGTTATACTATTAACTGGGAGATACTATATCTAATTTCTTGACTTTTGGATCAATCATATCTATTGTTTCTATAAGATATTAGGTTTTATCATTTGTAAAGACTCCATGTCTGGGATGGAGTGGGATGAGGGGTATCAATAATAGAATACACTGAACTTTTGCTGGCTTCATCAGTATGCCTTCTGGGAATATTCTATAACCTAAATAGTCCAGTTAAGTCAGATCAAAAATGCATTTTTCTAATATACCAAAAAGCTCATAATTTTGTCTTATAATTTTTGTAATACATTTCTAACAAGGGTTACATGAAAGGAGAAAACATCTAAATAAAACAAGTTGTCACCCAAATAGACAACAACATATTTATCTAAAATGTCTGCAAATATGTTCATAAATCTAGAAAAAACAGTTTACAAATAACCAGGCTAAAGGTTGTATTCAAAGTTTCCACAACTTCTTAACCACTCCTCTGCCACCCTGATTCCTTTTAGTGAAAACAGATATATCAGATATGGTGATAGGAGCAGTCCTATTCCAAGCAGAGAAGGATGACAGAGATGATCTACTTCCATGTGCATTTTACTCAAGAGCATTGTACAAAGCAGAGAGAAATTATGCTATTGGTAGCAAAAAAAAAATGCCTTACAACAATGGAAACACCTGCTGGAAGGAGCAGCCCGCCCACCCACTTACTATATACAAATCCATACTGATCATAAAAATTTAGAGGTGTTGCAAACATCACAGCTTTCCTATCCTGGCAAATTAGATGCATACAATTTTCTTTTACTTTTACATTTCATTTATTGCAGACTCCCAGGACAAGTTTTCACTCTCTAAGGCAAGCCAGAGTAAGAGATTTCCAATCATGCCCCACGCCCCCAACATCGATACTACAGCCAAGCAGGGGTGGGATTCTACCAGTTCTGTCCACCTCTGTAGAACCGGTAGTTTTGAAGAGCAGCAGGCATCGAACCGGTTCTATATCTGCTGCTATTTTGCCTCCCCCCCCCCCCGGCTCTTACCTTACCGTCATTTCCTGCATTTTCAACCGCAGCTGCTTTGCGTGACACAGCTGCGGTTAAAAAAGCAGGAAAAAAGAGCTTTTCCAACCGCTGCACACTTGCACACAGCGCTGCTCAGCTGTCTGGGCAGCGGTCATAAATTGTACTCGTGCAACTCACGCATGCACGCACACACAGAGAGACAGAACTGGTAGTTATACCAGTTGGATCCCATTCCTGCAGCCAAGCAACTTTCGATTCCACAGTAAGGCAGATTAACACAAAAGGCTGAGAGCAGAAAGGAAGTTAGATGATCTTTTTGATTAGATTAAGGCATTCCAGAAGAGAATGTATATGGCAGGGCTTGGTTAAATAAACTCAAGACTGACCAACATGATACTGT